ATTTCTCTTACCAAGCAAACGAATGTATGGTTGCCTAAAAATCAGGATATTAGTTGTGCTATCATAGGAAAGTTCACACAGAGAAATAAGGTTGAAGAAAAATGCCTTACTCATTGGGTTGTAATAGATGAAAAAGAACTTGATTTCTTAATTCAGGATTGTATTAAAGAGGGAACATATGCTGGTAGTGATAAATGTCCACTTGGGCATATACTTATATATTACGAGTGTTATCAGCCTCAATATACATATTTACGAGCTTCGATGCTAGCATATGCCTATATAAATCTGCTTGAAATGCTCCAAAGATTTAGTTCTAATGAAGTAGTAAGAATTGCCACTGATTCTATATATATACGAAAAGAGGCTTTGTATAAGATCGAAAATGTGTTTGCCTTCTTTAAGCAAGCTAATCAGTTACATAGCAATCTGCCAAAGAATAATTCTAAGAATACTAATAAATTTCTATATTCATACTGCTTTTCTATTCCTTGTACAATATGTGAAAGAAGATATTTTCCAAGCTTATATCCTATACAAGTGGTTAAAGAATTCTAGAAAATTAAAATGCCTTTAGTGCAAGGGGCATATATGCCATGTAAGTATAAGCTATTTACATGTGCTGATTGCTTTTCAGATTGGTATTATCACCAAGGTTTTTGGAAGGAATCTAGCAGTACTGTCTTAAACGTAAATAAGGTACTAGAAATGGGAGAAAAGATTCCCTCAAAACTGATTCTAGAAATTTAATCTGGCCAATAGTGTGATAAGGATGAGAAGATTCATGGACCAGATCCTAATGTTGTATATTGGCTGAAAGGCAAACATTGGGAGTCAGTAAAAAATATTCCTGATAGTAATGCTCTATCAATTCATGATCCTATTACAAGATTCTGAGTTTCATATCTCAATAGAGAAGGTGGTTCTGGCAAAACAACATGCGCAATCCAAATCTTCAAAGATATAACATGGTTGTTTTCACCCATACAAATGTGCTAGCTAAAGATTTCCAAAATAACCATAAAGTAAAAGCCCAAACTTGGCATAGCTTCTTTAGATAGAATGGTGTAGAAGAATGGATACCTGAACGTATGGGAGAAAAGAAATTTCCACGAGTTGTCATCTGGGACGAGGTATGCACAGTGCCTAGGTATATTCTCGAAATGTTTATTGACTACTTACTAAAGCAAAAATGTCAGATAATCTGTTGTGAAGATGATACTTAGCCTCCACTATTCTTCGGAGAAATGCCTCATGACTGGTTAAAAGAGCAAGCTGATTACTATGAGGAAGTCTAACTGACTATCGGGCCAAATATTCTAGATTACAAGAGCTTAAGAAAAAAATGCAATGCCAAAATAACAGAGTGCAGTCAGACTTATTCCGTGAAGCACTTCCGAATACAGAAAAATAAGAATATCTTGAAGCTGAATGGAAGCTATCAGATCGTATCTTATCAGCACATATACTTTCTTGGAAAATTGCTTCTCAAAAATGCTTAAAAATTCATCAAGTAAAATATCCTGAAATTCCAATCCCATTAATTTATAGGCCAAAAGATAGACGCAAACAGAATTGCCTTGTTCAAATTCCTGGCTCATCTGAAAAGAAGGAGTTAGTAAAAAATGATATAATATATTTGCCCTTAAATACACTTCCTGACAAGTTCTTAAAAGATATATTAGTAAATAAAAAAGTCATAGATTGGGAACTTGGATACGCAATGACCATTCATACTAGTCAAGGAATGACTCTTAAGTTGCTACAACATGTTTGGGTCATTGATGAAAACCTAGCCTGGGATAATCTAATATATTTGGCAGTTGGTCGTATAAAATATTTAAGCCAACTCATTCGGATTGAAGCACCTCCATTATCTTCTGAAATTGCCCAAGAGATTGAGGAGGCAAAAAAGAAAAAATGGCTAGAATATGAATTGAGGCCGTCTATTCAGAAAAAACTTATCAGATATATGGGCCAGGATAAAGAAAAAGGCTGTGAATTTGATCTAACAGTTGACTATATCCTTACATTAAAACATATTCAAGAAGACAAATGCGCATTATGTCTTATTGAAATGAAATTCAAATAGGATCAGCTAGGAGATATATCCCAGTAGACAGTAGATCGAATCCACAATAGTTTAGGGCATATTAAAGGAAACGTATACCTCACTTGTCTTCTTTGCAACCGAAATCATAGAGTCTAGATCATGGCAGTAATCCAGATGCTTACATAGCTATTATATATTATTTTTTTCTTTAAAATAAAAAATATTTGCAAAATACTTTTCAAACTTGAAAAGTTGAAATATAAAATTAAGATGCTATGTGAAATTCTAAAAGAATAAAAGCCTTAGTTAATAAAATCCACGCGTTAAACATACCTAATATTCAAGATATTTTTGAGGAATGGGAAAAAAATAGGTATACTCGATACATGTTATCTGAATATGGATTAAACTATATTAGTAATTTAAAAACACCAGAAGCTTGGCTACAATTTGCAAAGTATTATCTGCCTGAATATATATGTAGATGTTTATTTATACCAGAACATCAAATAAAAAATAAGAACTATTGGAGAAACTTTGTATTTCATATTAAAAATAATTTAACCAGAAGAGAATATATAGCCAATAACTCTGAATTTAGAGAATTTAAAACCAAGTAGCATATTTTAAAACTTTGTATATAAAAATCGACCAGCGATTATTATCTAACAAGCATATCGTTTATGGAAAAAACGAATAAATTCGGCTAAAATAATTCAGCGTGCGGTGAGAAAATGGCTTTATCGACCAGATGGCACATTAATGAAACATGCCCAAGATCGATATTATCAAAATGCTAATAAACTTGAAAATTTGAGGTAACTCAGAAGATTTTTTAACATAGGTATAAAAGTGTTGATATAAAATAAAAATCTATGAAGTGTATACTCCTTCCTTCACGATTGCTATCAAAGATCTAGTGATCCTGGCTCATACTAATTAATTCGTGAATGAACAGATCGCCAAATCCGAAATGAGATTTTATAAAATCTGCAAACTAATTTTTTTAATCATGAGAGTGTTTAATGTATAAAAATAAGCTAAGTATAAAAAAAATTGTGAAATACTTATCTGGTTATACTTTATATTAACGCATACAAATCTAATCACATAAATTTTACTCTTGAATATGTCTACCTCTACTTCTACATCAACTGCTCCTATTAATAACATCAAAAATCTCGCATATAATATTCTAAAAACCTTCAAGGATGGCATTATTAAGTGTAAAAAAATTACAGAACTAGGGCCATGCTCCGAATGTGACAATGATATTTTAATATCTCCTCTCAAAGCATTTACATATCTAGCATGCGGACACCTTTTTCATAGACTCTGTATCGAAAAAAAGCTTTTACTTACTGTTTCAAACACATGTCCATTTCCGGGTTATAGAAAGAATATGGAAATATTAGATCAAGCCAATCCCCTTGGTACTGTTTTCAATTTGCCATTTACTGATCCCAAGAAGGCCTTTCAATCAACTAAAATTTCACCTTTGATGGGCGAAACATTCGTCCTATCTTTATTATCTATACAGATGGAAGGGATCGAGGATACGGCAACCCAACAAGTCAAAAGTAATTTGAAGTATGCCAAATGTTCTAAAGATCTTTCTTCATATCTCCCACCTATAGGCTTTCTTCGGTTTTCTCCTCAACTTCAAGGTCTCTCAAAACTACTCATATACTTAACCTGCAAACATATCATCCATTACAATTGTATCGATAATCCACAAAAACTGTGTTCTATATGTCCACCAACTGATATAGAAACTGATGACAGTGTTATAGTAACTATTACCCAAGAGTCAAGTACTGCCCAGAAAAAATGTTCTAGTGGCTCTTCAGAAAAATCCTCTAACAAGAAAGCAAAAAAAGTTGGTGAAAAGGTCTCGAGTACACTAAAACAACTTATAGAAAAATTATTAACTGATATTCCTATTGTTGATAGAAGCTTAGAGGAAAGAAGTTATACAACTGATACCAGGGTATTTTTTTGAAACTTTTTGATAGGATTGATAATGCCGAATCTAAAAACAAAGATACATCTTGTGACCTTATTACCAGCTACTTTTATTTTGGGGAGGCTTTATATAATCAATATAAGAAGCTAAAACCCACTTATGGTAAAGATGGAGCTAGGGCTTTAGTCAAAAGTAAGGTTAGGAAGGAAATTTCTGAGGCGAAATTCTCTGATGATGCTTTAAAAAAAAGAATGGAAAAAGCCCGAAAGATGTTTAAAATTTTCAATAGTATAGGCAAAGAAAAAATAACACAGGTAAAATCTATCTCTCCGGGTTTTATCCTGAATCTTACCGTAGATAATACTGATTATGTAATTGCTGAAGTTTTAAAAGGGTTAGGAAGCATGTATAATCAGATATAATTATTCAATGGATAATAAGCTATATTATAGTCACGCACAGCCAGGGGGGAGCAGAAACCCTCGATATCATAAAGAGAAAAATTCTTCACCACATCACTCTTCCGGGCCGGCATTCCCCGGTCCTTAGCAATGACCACTTATATATACAGCTCACCCATCTGCTATAAATTCATTATTCCATGCAAATTATAGATATTGAAAAGCCTAACATATATTACTAACCTGGGGTAAAATCTCTGATACTTTCTCTCTTCGATCAGAATTATTTATTTCTTTTAATGCTTTTTTTACCGCATGCTCCGCTAAGTATCTAACATCTTCATATTCATCCAAAGTATTATCAACCATCACCAGATAAACAACTAATGCAGAACAAATAGCATCTAACGATTCTTCTAATAAAAGTTTCACTATTCTAGAGAATTGGCTTGACATGTTAAAAAAGTTATGAGAGTTTTATTGTAAGGTTAAAAAAGTTGAGTTTTAGGTTAAAAAAGTTGCGAGAGTTTTAAGTTATAGCAGAATTATACAAAAATTAATTTCATATACTGTTCTTTTTATAGATTTTCCTTTATTTCTTCTCTGAAACTGAGGCATGCACTCTTACATCAAAAAATTTCTACGATAGAAGTTGAGGCATATATTTTCACGCAGAGAAATTTCCAAAAGAATTCTATAAATTATGTAAATGTATGCAACATGAGTTATAGAGCCATGTAGGGTTAAAATCATTATTAAAGGACGTGATACTCCGTCATACATACATACATTGTGCGCATTTAGGCCAGATAAGGTTTCGGTCCGGAGTGAATTCCCCCACAAAGATGTGGCATGAGTTAATTGACCGACTTTGGTTAGTTACTAATTCCAGAAAAATGAAAATGGCACTTTGA